AATCTTCCTCGACGAAGTATCTTGGGAAAATAAATGGAGCCTTTAAACAATCCTTATAAATTTTGAATTGGTATCAGGTTTGAAGGTTTATTTATTCAAAAGCGACTTGATTTATATCAATTTAGATGACTCATTTTTAGGGAAGTGTCAAGTTTATGTCTTGTTGTATTTCAAAAGCTCCTTTCTTGTTCTTGGGAATTCTGGTTGGGGTTAATCTGAGAAAATGTGCTACTTGAGATCCAATAGTAGAGAATGTTAAAAGTAAACTCTCATCTTAGAAAGGTCGACATCTTTCAATCGGGAAATGTAACACCTTCTAAAATCTCATGAATAATATAAATAAATAATCAGAGTATTTCACCAAAAGGGTGTCACATGCTTCATAAAATATCATACATGCATATATTACTTTGTAACACGGGTTTTCAAAATCATTTATAACAAATACCTCACTAAATAACAATCGTAATACTTCGACTACTCGCAGCGGAATTAATAGTTCAAAATGTCTTTATTAAACACATCATAGAAACTTCATTGTTCATGGTTCACAATTCAAAACAACTTAAATACCATGAAAGATAGTTCGAGGTCTCATAATAAAACAAAAAAACATAAGTTCAAAATCAAACGTTTCTGACCCCGGTGTTACATATCAGAGCAAGACCTTCTAAAATCAACGGAAAGAAAATAACACACTTCAAACTATCTTCTAAGCTTCTACGAGCTACTCCTGATCACCTGTGCATTACCCACGTAGATGTAACATTCAAACAGAAATGGCGAGTAATCACATTTATTACAAAAGATATATGGAATAGATATAGTAGTCCAAGCAGCAACATCACGGTATCAAAATCAACCACATTGTCAACAATTCATCAATTAGCAGAACAACATATAAAACATCATATAGTCAACAATTATGCAATGACACATAAGATGTAGTGCAATAAAATTGACTCATGCATATAGTACCAATTCGTTATGAGTACTTGACTCATCACCCTCTATACATTCCCACTATAGGATCAATCATCTCTTGGAACCGGAGCACTACATCAACACACTCAATCCACACAATGGGATTAAGACCAACACTGGACTTTTGTCCTAACAATGCTATGAATGCATGATGCACAATCAACATAATATTTGTGACCACAACTAGTCAAGTGCATCACCATTCACTGAATCATCAATAATATTCACATAGTATATATATATATATATATATATATATATATATATATATATATATATATATATATATATATATATATATATATATATATATATATATATATATATATATATATATATATATATATATATATATATATATATATATATATATATATATATATATATATATATATATATATATATATATATATATATATATAGACACACACACGTCAAACATACTAATCAACAACATCATTCAACACTTCATAGTCACAACATATTATTATCATAGTATTCACAACTCATCATAGCAACATACATCATTTACCTCAAGGGAATCTAAGTCTATATTAACCTATGTACTAGAATTATACATCTTCTTATTCATTTTATTTCAACCACATGCAGTTCATCGCGTTAGTTATCCAACGCTTTGAGTGACGTCTCAAACGAAGTTCTAAAACTCAAGTTATGGCACTTTAAAAATTCTCATACTATCCATCAACTGATGCTCACCCGATAATGCATTCTGCTCACCTGAGGCTCACCCGATGACGTGGGAGCAACAACACCACTCATTCTGCTCTAGTCTCCATCGCCCAGCGGAGCTCCTTGCTCGTCTGGCGATACACATCTCCTCCTGCATAACCCAATGATGCATGAGCAAGACATACCTCTCCATACAAAAATTTAGGAGCACCACTTTTTCACCTATTTTTTCGCTCCTTTGCTCTTCCGGCGACAATCAAACGATGTTATCTCACCGGACGATGCATAGTAAACTGCAACTTCTTGTTTTAATTCTGCACTTATTCAACCCCAATTCCTCTTGCAATTTCATACTATTGTAGTCCAGATTTTTATATTTTCAACATGGAATCATCATACAACAATCACATCATATTATAGACATCATATACACAAACTCATAGCAAATCAACATGGTATTTTCATCGATTTCAACATAATTTCATCATAAATGCAACAATCATCAAATCATCATAAACCCCAATAAATCTTCGCATACCTCTAAACTCCATATCAGTTATATAATGACAGGTCACCCCCTTTACCTTAGATTCCTAGCTTGGATCTCTTCTCTCTGCGATCTACCGAAAATCTTCTATGTTCTTCGTGCCCTAACTTTCTCCTCTGCTCTTCAAATATTTTCACGATCGCACCAAATGATATATTTTCTTCTTATTCCTTATTTAATCTTTGGACTCATAATATGTTTTTTCTAACTTGTCCTCACTTAGCCTTTCACCAATTACCACTTTGCCCTTATCTTCTCTACGTCAATTATTCCTCTATTTTATTATTAATAATAATTCAAACTAATTTAAAATGATTATTAACTAATTATCTAAATTATTAGAGTACTTCTTACTCATCTAAATTCCCAGTATCCCACAATATAACAACACATCACACATCATACTCAACAAAACATCATATTTCCATCAATAATTCATGAATATTTTTAATAACTTATTTAAATAAATAATTATAAAAAATTGAAATGTTACATGAGGGCAACATTACTTTAATAAACTAGGTGCTTAATAACCTACCTCTCTATTTCTTCTCATTCTTTAAGTCTCATACATAGATTATCAATAAGCTTATTTAAATACAAAGGTTTTTTATGGTGTTAAAGGTTCAGAAAGTAAGAAGATGTGTTGGGTGAAGTGGAAAAAATTTACCTATTATGGGAAAAAACATTACTTATTTCAATCTAGTGTTACTAGAAAAGTGGGTGTGACACTTTTTACATGATGAGAATGTAAAATTGCTCGATTTTCTATTATTTAGATATATAAATTTATCATCTTGTGTGTTGCAGGAAGATGTCACGCGTTGCAATGTTAAATAATCCATTAGATGGTGCAATATCACAAAAGCTAGAGAAGAGAATCATATTAGTCTGAACCAATTCAACATTAATTTGAAAGTTGAAGTAGACTGTGGAGACAAAATTCTATTTGTGGTGGATAAATAGCTAGGTGTGACAACATTGAGGAATATTTTCCCTAAACTTTTTTCTTTTGCATATAATAAACACGATCGCATTTTAAACCCGGGTGAATATAACATCAAACCTGAATGAATACAACAATGGCAATGACACGTCCTATGATATACCGAGGTATATCAACTTGACGGAGAAGAACTACAACATCTCCTAACACTTTTGATTGAAGTTACTTCAATGTAAAAGATTTGTGACTGAAGGATTTAGATATCAGATGAAGTTTGAAGTTTCAAGTTTCAACATCAAATTATTATACACATCTTTCATGGACAACCATATTCATAATTTAATGGATACAAATCTCTTGACAACTCTAAACTCCATATGGAATAGTAAAATTCCGTTGAAAATTCTTTCGTTGGAGACTTCTTCAAGACAAGCCACCAACAAAGGAGGCTTTACAAAAAAAAGATTTTAATGAATACTTCTTTACTGAATTATGTATTCTATTTTAAAAATTAAGAAACTTTATACCATCTCTTGTTCTCTTGTTCCAGAATCATTTATGAAAAGACATTCTACAATCCGTAAAAAATCAACCGAATTTAATCATTTCTTCAAATTTGGAGAACTTATATATGTTAATGTGTGAATATAGGTTTGATGATCTAATTCACATCTTATTAAATGAAAAATAATCCTAGAAATTTTTTATACTCTATTAATACCATTTTACTAATACAAACAAGAAATTCAAAACAAACCTTTATTGTGTTTATAGGTTGTAACTTATATTTTTCTTCCATCTTCTACTTTCTTCCATCTTTTATATTCTTATACTTACATTAATACCATTTTACTAATAGAAACAAGAAATTCAAACCACAATCACAAAATGAGTTGCGAACATGAGTTTCCCTATGTAAAGTGATTTTTTAATAATTTACTATTTTAATTGTATTTAATTTATTCATTAATCAAATATAATTTATATTGAATTTAATTAAAATACACTCTCAAATTTTATAAATATTTGACTTTTTCTTTTAATTATATAATAATAATATTTGTGAATAATTGTATAATAATTATTTTCTTTATATTTTTGCAAAAAATTATATTTAAATTGTGCAATTATCAAAATAAATATAAATAAAATCATTGAGTCTTTTAACGATTAAAAAAAAGAAGCTGTCATCCACAACTCTACTAGAACTCAAAAAAAGAGAAAAAGGAAAATTGTTCATAGCATTTTTTTTTAATCACAACAAATAGGCATAGTTTTTCAACAGCAAGTCATCACTGCTATGAACAACTCTAATAAGGTAATCATATATTGCAGTACACAATATTGGTTAGGACATTCGGAACAATTCTTTTTTGGCTTTTTTTAATTTAAAATAAGCATTACTTCTTCTATCATAATAACAGCTTATCATAATAACAAACTTTAATGAAATGTTTTCATTCCAAGGAATTTTAGGTTCATTTAAACTATTTTTGTCATTTTTAGTCAATTAAAAATAAGTGAGTCTTCTTTCCCTCAAAACAAGTAGAATAATGTTACCATAACCAAGAAGACACGACTTAGGAGTATCAGTATGATGATGGAGACACTTCTTTTTTCCATAAAAAAACTCAAATATGAGAACTAAACATGAATGTGGCCAACTAGTTCCACACACATTACAGAATCCAAGATGTCAATTTAGTCTTTCCTAAACACAATTTTCCCTATTCATAAACAAATTGTCCCAAATTGCCTTAAAACCCATCATAACTGTCTAACACCAATAACAATAAAAAGACTGAGTTTTGACTCCATTCCCTTGGTGGTTTATGCCTTGCTGTCAACACTCATAGGTTCAGCATCCTTTGGTGCCGAATTCTGCATTTTAAATAGATGCAGAAGAATATCATAAATAAATGTACAAGATTAAACACTGAAACAAAGAAATAAATCATATTTTGATTCCAACTTGACATCATGTGCACAGTCCAGAAGTGAAAATGTACTATGTAATACTTACATTACTGTCAAGAGAATCCAATTTTTTCATTTTGCTGAACATATTCCCATAAAATTTTGCATCTTTCTTGTTGATCTCCTTCACCTTTTCCTTCAAAGTCTTGTACTCCAGCTTCACATCCCTGGTTATTAAATCAAAAAACAATTTTATTAAACAAGACAAATTCAAACAAACCCAAAATACAAACTGTTTTTTTTTTTAACTACACTCAATAATTACCCTTTTATTAAGCATTTTGTTTAAAGTATTTACCTGTTGTTAGGGTCAATCTCAAGAGCTTTCTTGATATCAAGTTCAGCCAGATCCAAGTCAGTCAACTGAATATATGCCTGAGCCCTTCTATAAAGAGCTTTCACATTTGTGCTCTCAAGCTCCAGCACCTGCTTGTCCATGTAAAAGAATCATTGTTTGGTTTTTGGTAAAAAAGAGCAATGGTTTTTAATAAGGTTGGAGACAGCAGCCAGACCTTTGTACACAATTTCTCTGCTTGTTTATAATCTTTCAACTTCAACTTGCATGCTGCATCGTTCAAATTACAAGCAACCTTCAAGGCCTTGGCACTTTTCTTCTCCTCTTCGCCAAAAGCAGTATCGTACTCTATGTACTTTACAGCCTGCATTATGGTTTCAGCATGAAACAATGTCTCAAAGATTGCATTGAAGGTGAAGGTGAAATATATCAAATGTATCTTGGGTTACCTTCTCATATCTTTTAGAAGCTCTTGCATATTTACCAGCTTTGAACAAAGCATTCCCTTCTTCTTTCTTCTTACCAGCAGCTTGTATCTTCTCTTCAGTGTTCATGTCCCAGGACTCCTTATCCTAAAGGAAGTAAGGAAAAATGTGTCCATGCATAAAGAAAGCGGCAAGTCAGAAAAAGATATAAAAAAAAAGACATCGCTCTTATTTGAATCCTGCTAACCGATGTCCTGGGAAAATCTGAGAAATTTGTAAGCTTTCATTGAAAAGAGTAATGTTTAAGTCTTGCTAACCAATGCTACATGCCTACATTCTTTCCAAGGAATAATTATATTAGAATTTGTTGTTCCTTCTTAATGTTGTGAATTTTGTTAAGCTACAACAGCTAGTGCTTCATCAATAACAGGATTCCCTTACTCACTACTGAAATGCATCAATACACAAATGCAGAATATCATTAATTTAACCATTTACTCTACCTTTACGAATGATACTAGCTCAACCTCATAATGCAAGGTTGAATTAGGAGGAACCACTGCCAATTCCTGCTTAGTCTCAGTTGAACCAAAAGCATACTCAGGTGCAATGGTCAACAATGCTACCTCACCCTTCTTCATGGTTATTACAGCTCTATCAAGCCCATCAATCACTTGCTCTGCTCAACACGACAAACATTTATTTAAGTTGGTATAAAAACAAATTTATGGGAGGGGTGAACCATTAGGACAATTCAAATTACCATCATCTGTTTTGAATTCAAACAACTCGGCTTCATCATCACCATGACCCTTCTTAACAAATACAGTGCCATCTTGCAGCTTACCAATTAGTTTCACTGCATAAATGCAAAATGAGAAAAGACTATATCAGAATCTCTGCACTAAACAATGAAGAAAAAAAACAGAGTAGTCATCATTGGCATTAATGGAGATTTACATTTCACAACAGCTCCCTCATTTGGACGTTCATATCCTTCTCCTTCCTTGACGATCTTTTTGATGACCTTCTTGTCATCGGTTACTTCAGAAACAGTCTTCCAAGAAACTAGCTCAAGTGTAATTTGCAATGTTGCATTAGGTGGAACTGCAACCTCACCACCCTGAGCTGGCTTGCCCTTCTCACCAAATCCATCTGCAACACAATTTAAAAAGCATACATATCAAGAGTACTAGTGAGATTCTTAATAGAGAAAAGTGGTGTTACATAATCATCTCCCGTAAACTTACACTGTGGCTTCACAGTCAAAATCACTTCCTCTCCCTTCTTCATGGTCTTAACAGCCTTTGACAACGCAGGACAAAAATGACCTGCCACATTGTAAACATAAATGTAAGACATCCCATCCCATAAAGAGAAAATGATAACTAGACTGACAAAGACTATGATAAAATTAGTTTGCACTGACCCTCCTTCACAGTGAACTCCACTCCATCAGATTTTCCTACAAGTGTTCCATCCTCAAGATGTGCTTCATACTTAACTGCAACACCGCAAGAACATTATAAGTTAACATAAATTCAAATAACATGATCATCCATCCAATGAACAATGAAATATTCAAGCAGTAATATATTTACCAAAGACATCATCAAGATCCTTAGGGTTTTCCCATTTCTCCCCCTCCTTAAGAACCTTCTTAAACAATCCTCCATCTTTACATATATCTTTCACACTAGTCCAAGACAGCAGCTCAACATCAAACTGTAGAGTAGCATTGGGAGGAATAGTTGGAGGAGAACCAGACTCCCCATAAGCCAACTCAGCTGGGATGGTGAAAAGGGCATTTTCACCTTTCTTCATGGTTATAATACCATCATACCATCCTTTGATGACTTGCCCTGCAATGCCAACACATCTTAGAAATACATCCAAACAATGATTAAAGAGGTAACTAGTAAGAGTATTAACCAAGGTAGCTTTTGTTTAACAAACATGTATTGCACATTCTCAACTATAAGATATCCAAAATAATAGTCAAAATTTTAAGTTTCACTTGTAATGGTAAACATGAATTCTTATGTAATTTAACAATTCAATAATAGCTTATTCATAACCATTGTTATGATAAACCCTAATTCGGTAAGTGCTTAACTGAATTATGATTGTTTACCTAAACATAACATAAATCATAACTAGAATTAACAGATCCAATTAAAATAATAAGAAATCAAAACAAAAACCAAGCAATGCACTCACCTTGTCCAAGAGTGAAGTTGAAAGGAGTTCCTCTATCTCTACTAGAATCAAACTTAGTACCATCAAGCAACGTCCCAGTATAATGAACTACACATAAGAAAATTACACAAAATTAAAATAAAATAAAAAAATCAGACAAAACATAATCAGATTCAATACAATCAATGAAGAACTATATCATAGAGAAATGGAGAGAGGTACCGTGAACTTCATCGCCAACTTCGGGAGTGTCCCATCCTTCACCTTCTTTGAGAAGCTTCTTCTTCATCCCCTGCTTACCGATTTCCTTCTCTTCGCCGACCATGAGAATAGGATTATTGCCGGCGCCGGCGAAGTCGAAATCGTCGTCGTTCATCTGGTCAACCGCCGGGATATCGAAATCTTCATCCATTGTTTAAGAAATGTGAGAAATTGAGAAAATTGAGAATAGAGAAAATGCGGAGATTGGTAATTAACGAGAGGTTGGAGAGGTGAGAATGCGTGAAGTATATGGAAATATAAAGAAGGAGGAGGGTATAAATGGAAATAAATTGTTAAGGGTTCGAGAGAATTCTATAGCTGAAGTCACAGAAGGAGTGAATATGTGTATTTTCCAGAATCAGGGTTTAGACTTTAGATGCTTCCAGATGCCTAAATTTTCAGTTTGTATTTTTTTTTTCTCTTTCCTTTTTTTTTGGTTGTTGTTTTTCATTCTATTTAGTTATTTATTTTATTTTGATAAATATTTATCATTTTCTCTATTTCATTATAATTTCATATTTATTTTTAATTAATTTTTTTTATTAATATTAAGTGGTATAATATGAAAAGTAAATAAATATCAACAAAGAAAGAAAAGTGGAATTACAATTGCTCGAGAACCATCTTATATGTATCGGAGGAACGACACGTCGAAAAACTATGGCAGAAAGACATAATTGTTAAGATGTTAGGACGTAAAATTGGGTACAAAGCCTTGAAAAACAAGCTAAATCTTTTGTGGGTGAAGCGAGACATCTTGAACATCGTGGACATAGGGTAAGACTACTACCTCATCACATCCACAAATGAAAAAAAAACCAAACTATGGCTCTGATAGAAGGTCTTTGAGTAATTTATGACCATTATCTCTCTGTTAGACTTTGGAACGCAAATTCTTGTCTTAGTATTGGTGTTATAGAGCATCTAGTTGTGTGGGTAAGGATAGTTGGACTCCCTATTGAATACTATGCTAATAGAGTGCTTTCACATATGTAATCGTATAGGGAAGATTGTCAAAGTGGACAAAAACACTCTAACTAAGGAGAATGGAAAAACACAAAAAATGGGAGTTTGAATTGGATTTTAAGAAAACATTCTCTTTTAGAAAATTATTTGATTGAACTATGAAAGAATATATAATACAATAAAATATACAGAGACACATTCAGTTATCCAAGTTTACTCTTAGCTAGGCTACTCGTGTCCACCCTCCCCAAACGTTTTTGCCTTCAACAAGGACTTAATCCATTATAACCAAATCATGATTATAATTCATAATAAGTTTAATCAACCTTGCTGACACCCTTAACAAGTTCAACTGATCCTTATTGCCTTTTATGCTAAGACCGTAGTCTAAGCCTTCTTGAGAATCCTGACTCAACCGAGTCTCTCAAGGAATATCACAATGATAGGTTCAGTGATCTCCATGAGATATAACGATCATTGACTCACCTAGAATTCGACCAACATGGTCTCCTAGAAATGATTTCATCCATAATGACCACAACCACTTGTCTTCTCAAGTCTTCTGATCTTCACTCTATCACTTGAGAAACCACCGATTCTAAACAAATTTGTTTTTCTGGAGATTATATGAGTGCTTCTTATCAGGCAGATTACTCATAGTTTAAGTACACATCACACACTTCTGAGCAACAACTCTCATGTACAAACAATTTACATGAAGATTCCTAAGAAATAACACAATCTGAGCAACAACTCTTGTGTTTTACATTATTTCTACAAAGATGAATATAATATAAATTGAGTGCAGCATCTTGTAATCTTCTTGTTTCCATCTTCTTTGTTGAGCAAGCTATGAACAACAACTCTTTGCTTCTTCATAATTCTGCTAAGATGTATATGATGGAAGTTTGAGTTGCATCTTGTAGAATTCTTCTTCATCATCTTCTTTCTTCATTAAGCAAAATATGTGCAACACTCCTTCCTTTTTCTATTTCATCTTTTCAACGTTGTAGATATTTGCTATTAAGAACAACAACATTGTTTAGACTTAGACATGGTCTTCATTTCCAATATCTTCTTCACTTTGAATTTGAAGCTTTTGTCTTCTTATATAGCCTTCATATGAAAAGAGTCGCTGTAACGATAGAGAAGTCTTTTATCTTTCCAACGGTTGATTCCCAACATATATATTCAAGAGAAGTTTGGAACAATATGAAAATGTCACTTTCCTAGACCTGCTACTTGCAGTGGTTAACATACGATAGTGGGAGAACAACTTCTTTGAATAACATAACTAATATTATAATAGTGGAATTTATGGTGTACTGTATTCTTCTTGACTAAGTTTCTTGATCTTTATCTTCTGATGATGTACTTCTGATTCTGAAGTATTAAGCTTGGAAGAGATCGATCACTTGTCTTCGTTCTTCTGATGACTGACTGATGAGTAGTTCAGAAACTACTTTATTGTTGTAGTGAAGGAACACCAGAGTGGTCAGAACCAAATTTTGTCTTCAGAATTATGGGCAACAGCCTATCTGAAACACGAAGCTTTTCTTCTGACCTAGAACTACTTTTTGAAGGCATGTTTCTTTTATAATCTGAGAGATGAATATTGTATTGAGAATATGTTTCATTTCAGATTCTTTCAATAGTGGATTCATGTTTTCAGAATGATCGACACCAGCCTGTCTGAAATAACAAGTCTTGACATTGTACTTGAAAGTTGTTCTGATAAAGATATCAAAAGCTTTTATGATGAGGATCTTGAAATTAGATATTATGATAACATTTTATCTGATTCTCAAGTCTTTGAATTCTTGAGCTTTTATTCTTTTCTTTTTGCTGGATTGATTATGATTAAGGAGTGATAATGATCCAGAAGATTCTTCTTTGTTGTAGAGTCATAGTCTTTCATATGTTTCAACGTTGTCTTCAAATATATAAGCAAAAACTTATCTTATGAACAATTTCTTATTTGAGTGAAAGCTCTTCTGATCTACTTCGTCTTGACTTTGATCCTTGATTCTTGATCCTTTGATAATCAGCTTTTCTAAGTTGCATATCTGATGTTTGATTTCTGAAGCAACAACTTATATCAGTACATCTGATTTTGACTTTGAGTTCGTTCTTTCCGATCCCTTGAATTATGATCTTTGGAATGAGATGAAAGTAACAACTTATCGTCAGCTACATCTTTGTTGTTTGATCATGAATCCTTCTTGTTGAGAATGGGCTCCTTTATGTGGGCATACTTGATTCCCTTTATGATGAACATTTAGTATTCCTTAGAACTGGTGATGTTTTTGTAGAAATGGTCTTAATAGTCTATCTGTTGAGTGCAGTGGTCTTTTTGATGATATTTGTCTTCTTATGAATATTACTTTTGCTGAGTAGATTGGCTTGAGAAGATATCATCCTTTGATATTGTCTTCTGATGGAGTTTGTGATGTTTATTAGAAATGAGTCCATAAAATATTTCTTTCTTTAATTCTTTCTTTTGATGGAATACTTCTGATGTTGAATGAAGGTGCGTATTTCGTGAACTCTCTAAGTCTTTCGAATCTTGACTTTGTCTTTAGATACATGAGCAACAACTCTTTTGATGAAAAAATCTTGACTTCTGATCTTGGAGTAGAAACTTTCTCTATGTGTTCAGAATCTTGACTTAGTCTTTAGAATCATAAGCAATAGCTCTTCTAATGAACTAATATTGACTTCTAATCTTCTGTGTTGGAAGCTTGTTTCTTGTCTTCTCTTGATTTCTGATCTTGAAGCAGCAACTTATCAACAAATTTTTTTTCTTGGATACTCATTGAGATTATTTTCTTGTAGAACATTTAGCATTCCATTAAACTACTGATGTTACATTAGAAACAAAACTCAATGGTTCTTCTTTTGAGTGGTGAAGTGATTTTGATGATATCTTGTCTAAGACTATCCAGAATACTAACAATGTATCTCCACACTCAAAGAAACCATTAGAATTAAAATTGTTATGCATAAAATATATGCTTGTTATCATCAGAACTTAGAGATTAAGCATAAATCCAAATCTTTTTCTTGCAATCTCCCTTTTTTGATGATGACAAAACCATGTATTTTGATGAAACAATTTTACAGGGTTAAATCATAAACAAAGTAAAGTAAGAGTTTAGAAAAATCCTCGTAAGTTGGAAACTCTCCCTGAGATGAACAATCTCCCCCCTTAATCATAAATTTATGATCTTTCAGAGCTTAGGAGCAATATTATCCTTTTCTTAATCTGATATATCATTATTGATTTAACCTTTAAGCTTATCAGATTATCCATGCTTTCAGAATATTAGAAACAATAGTCGTTTTATATCAAAACTTGATTTATCAGAGTGAATGCAATATTTCTTTTAGAGATGTTCTTATCAAAATTATTATTCTTTCTCCCTCTTTTGTCATAATAAAAAAGATATAGGAATTGCTTAATTGAGAAGTTTAAAGTGCACACAAGAATCAAAAGACAACATAACATTTAAACTTGAATTCATATGAAGTACATAGGATAGACAAACAACAACGTACGATAATCAAAAAGGCAATATTAGAAAGAAAAACATTAGACAAATACAACATAATTGAAACTTATTAGAACCACTGATCATCAAAGGTCTCACACTCCTCTTCTTTCAAGGCTTCACAAGGACCAACACGGAACCAACAAATAATTCTTACAATTTCACCTTGGACAAAAACTTCTGACAAGACTCTTCCATAGGGAATAAAGGACTTGTTCAGATTCCTGGAAGAAGTGATAGACCTTTTAAGATGATTGAAGATGACTTGAGGAAGATTAATCGAAATACGTTTGAGCAGACAAAAAATTAGAATCTTATCATTATTGGTCAAGAAATTTTTGTTAGTGCCACGAAGAGAAAGATTTGTTAGGATAAAGCGAAACCAGTCTTTGACAATATGGAGTTGCTTATTTTTCCTTACCCCTCATTAACCATATACAACAATCCAAATATATTTTTAAGATAATACTCTAAAAAAATAAATTATTCTTGAAAAATAACTTAAACGATCCAATATTATTCTAATTGCATGCATATTGTAATTCATAATTTCTTCATTAACACATAGAATTTGATTCAATCACAAATTTTCAAAGTAATGTTGATGAATAGATCTCTTCTAAGTCTTTCACAC